CGCGCCAGGCCAGCCAGACCGATGCCCGGGGGGACCAACTTGGTAAGTTGTTGCCTGGGGGCTTGCCTAGTTGTCACGAGGTGCCACGTGTCGCAATTTCACTGGAGGGCCAAATCTGCCCTCATCAGTAACGATTCGAGGAGGTTCTGCCATCTCTTCAGCTATTTTCATCGACAAGATAATCTCCGCTAGTGGTGGCAACAGTTACAGAGGCGGCAACGATAGCTTCCTTGACATCCCACTGTGTGCGATGGAGGTGGTGGAGAGGAGAGAATTGATTTCAAAGAGATTTAACGGAAGGGTTTTTCATTTGGAAAAAAAAAAAAAATTGGAAACCAGGGGTTTTTCATCACTTGGGTTTTATTTTGAAAATTTGATGAATATTGAAGGGCAATTTGTTATATACTTTTTTTCCATTAGTATTTACCAATATATCAATTGTTAGAAAACTTAAGAATAGCTCAAGACAATATGTAAATAGTAAAGGTACAGTTTGTCAATTTGGTAAATAGTAAGGATAGTTTAAGAAATTTATCCTTTTGATTTGATTTGTAGGAAGTCTAACCTAAAACTGATCATTGACACCCCTACCTATGGTTGCTAGTCACTAAGAGGTGACTACTAGTGATGATGAGGGACAACTATGTTTCTATTCGCTTAAATTTTATGTTACTTATTGGGATGTTTGGAATCGTGGCCGTTTTTCAAAAAAATGGGTATGCCACGTCAGATCTACATAGGTGTTTCAACAAACGCTCATATATCTCATTGTTTGGTTCAGCCGATTATTAAAAAATCGGGCATACCTCGAAAATCAGGACTCCACCGATGCATGAAACGCTAATCGGTGAACTATTTCCCTAATAAAACGCTAATCGGAACTCAACCAATGATGATATTTATCTAATACATAAAAAACGGTAATAAAAATCATCTTACCAAATAACATACTATTGTTCACTGCCTATATGGCAGAGGCGTAGGTCTTGAAAACATTTACATTTTTCTTGAAAATCGGTCCCGTAAAACACCTAGCTTCCAAACACCATGATTATCATTATTGACTTAATTTTTGGTGCAGTTGATGTAGTAGTCCACGGAAGCTATAGTGCCCCGGAAATAGTTATCTGGCAGATACACAATTGATTGTCATGATGTGGTTGTCGAGTTTATCCTTCAATGGCTAAAGTTTGCGTATGAATTTGAAGAAGTTCTAGATTTTTCTCGCGACTTCAATGATGACGTTTCGCTGATTTGGACCATTTGGTTGCAAAAGAAGTTCAGGGTGCCGATCGTGTAATTTCAGAGCTCACGGAGAACATCGTTTCCGCGGTCGTAACTAATTTACTATTAATTTTGTTGCTGACATTTTCTGCTAATAAAAATTATTAATAGAAAAGGAAGATTAATAAATCAAATAAAAATACAAAGCATTTTCAAAAAAAAAAAGAATACAAAGTATAATAATTATTGTTAATTAGRAATACTAGAAAATTAATAGAAAAAAGAGTAGAACAAAGTAAATGAGTTATAATTAGCCTAATAATTAGGCTAATCAGCCTATTTACTGCTAACAATTCCTATTAACGAAATTTATTAGTAGAACAAAATGCTAAATCAAATGAGAACATTAATTATTATTAATTAATAGTAATCAAGAGCCTCATAAGTAATAGTAACAATTCTTATTACTAACATGTTATATTATTATTTCAATTATTTGTTAAAAAGAATCCATTAAGCATCATGATTAGTTTAAGCACTTAATTATATGGTATAGATTATGTATATGTAGACCTGTTCATGGGTCGGGTAGCCCGATGGCCCGGCCCAGCCCGGCCTGCATCCCAGTCAGGCTTGGTCATGTAATTAGGCCCGTGGGCCTGACCTCAGGCCTAACACAATAAGCCCGACTGTGTTTCAAGTCGGGCTCGGGATTTATCAAAAAAGCCTGGCTCGACTCAGCATTATATATTTTATAAAATATATAATATGTATTTTATATATTATATAAAATATATAAATAATTTAATATTTATTAAAATATATATTTATAATTTAATATATACATTTTTGTTCTTTTCTTTATAATTTCTCTCTCTATTCAGCCGCTTCAGCGCTAATAACAATATGGGCTAAATTTCAGGCTCAGGCCGAGGTCCGGGCTTCGGGCTTTTTATGAGGGCCAAGCTCGGGCCCAAGTTGTAGGCCCGATGGTCGAGCCGGGCTCGGGCTCGGGCCTTATAAAATTCTGTTAATCCAGAGTAAAAGCCCGACCCGAGCCCGACCCGAGCCCGGCCCGGCCCATGAACAGGTCTATATATATGTATGTATGTATGTATACGCCTAAATGCTATTAAAAATTCTGAAGAAAAGCAAACTGGGAGGAAAGTCGATAAGCATCAAATCCATCTTTTCCATCAAATGACGAAAGAATGTGACTCTTTGATCTGGAATGTCTTGATAGAGCCCTTTGTTCTCCATCGTGGTTAATTGACAATCTTCCTCATGCTCATGTTAAGCATTTAGTGGTAGGTAGAAGTGACCATCGTCCAATTGCACATTATYTTCAAGCAAAAAACAGATATTGACGAAAACATATCCGATCGATTCGAAGCCATTTGGACAAAAATTGATAACTACAAAGACAAGTTCAATAGGCTCTTTTAGAGATAAATACATCAATTGTAAGCAGCATCTGAACCACTAGGATAAAGAGGAACATGGCAATTTCAGGAGTAAAATTGTGGAACTTGAGAAGAAATTAAACGCCTATCAAAACAATGTCATAGAGGAAACTCTCCTCAGAAAGGAACTTGATGGTTTACCAAGGCTAGAGGAGTTGTTGTATTGGAAACCGAAATTAGCTTAAATGCAAAATGAGCAAATGAATAATGATGGAATGGGGTACAGACCGAAGATACCCATAACACCAACACAATAGAAATATATGTCACAAACAAGAATGAAACTAGGGGCAAGCTATGAGTAAAATATAATGGTTTAGTGCTATAAAGAATAGTTCCAGCAAGACAATGGTTCAGCAGTAAAAGTTAACAGCAAGAAGAATATGAGCAATGATGATAATAACTAAAGTGCTTGAGCAGAAAATCAAGTAGGATTAAATAAACTAATCAATAAAGCAAAGAGATAACAATTATGTGTATAACAGAATTCGCAAGRCAGACTTTAACCAAGCAGTACGAGAGTTAAAAAGAATGCAAATAAGGCTTATAGACTGATTATGAATGTTGATATTGGATTGGTACAGCTGCTACAATTATCAAGAAATGATAGAATGAGGTAAGACTGAGGTGATTTGTACAGGAAATATTAAATGCTAATATTGAATTATTAATGAATGGCAGTTTATCAAATAAAGTTAAATAGCTAATTTAGACAAAAGAGATTTTAACGATTCGGGTTTGATTCTGCTAATATGAAGAAAGGAACAAATCAGACATGTGTGTTTCTCAAATGTTTCAAGGGTAAACTAATCAAATCATTCTACTAAACAAAGTAGATCATGAAAGAAAATCACAATAGACGGGGAGTTTAGTACTTTCCGGTTCAGATAACATTGGGTTTCTTCTCCCTTTGCAAATACGGTGATGATGGAACATGCAATCGGATGAAGCTTTCCTCTACGAGATCAAATGGAGCGAACAGAGGTGTGCTTCATCAGCCTATTCATGCCTGATTCGTGTTTGTGCTCTGATATGTTGAATCAATGGTGGGCTGATTGCAGCCCTGTTGTGAAGTCGAGTGGGTGGTTGCCCCAATGAAGTGAAAGAGAAAGGGAATGATTGCTAGAATTTAAACGGAACTTGATGCTGAGAGGATGAAGTAAGTGTTCCTTAGACAAAGGTGCATTCTGTGTTCTGCAAGGCGCCTCCCTTTTGGGGTTTAAAAGCTTTTTGGGAGGAAGAGATTAGGGCTTCCTTTTGAAATGGAAAGAGGGGGGCATGGGAGGAGAGAGGAAGAGAGGGGCAAACTAGAATGGAAGGAAGGAAATTGGTGGGAAAGAGGAGAAGATGGTGGAGCGGAATCGGGGAGGGAGATTTGGACGGAAATATGGGTGAAGAGAAGTGTGGAGGGAGGAGGAGAAGAGAGAAGGAAAGAAGAGGGAGAGGGAGAGGGAGAGGCGAAAAAAAGGGGAGAAGAGGAAAGGGAGTGGGGCCAAGTGGGGTCATCAGAAATAAAAAGAAAAGAAAAAAAAGGTCTGGTGGTACTTACAGAAACAAAAGGCTCATGTGGATCGACTTAAAAGGGCGGCAAAAATATTAATTATTTTCACATCTCAGCCTCTTCTAACAAGCACAGGAGGAATGGTATACATTGGCTCAAAGATCAAATATAGAAATTGGAGCTCAAATAGTACAGTCATTGAAAGTGGTTAGGGATTCCTTTGTGGACTTATTCACTTCTTCAAATCCTCAATTTCAATTTAATCAATTTGATGCTTCTCTCATTCCCAACCAAATTACTGAAGAAATGAATCACATGCTTTGTAACAGCTCCTAGMCCGGATGGCACTGATGCTCTCTTCTTTCAAAGCAGTTGGGACTGGGAGATAACAAGTAATGATCCGGTGGCTTCTATCCACAATGCTTTCCAAATTCCAGAAATCATCAAAGAGGTGAATGACACAAACTTAGTTTTGATTCCGAAAAAGGAGCACTACAAGACCCGACGGTCTTTGTGATGCGACGAATATTAATATACGTTCGGCGGACTTTATTATGAACCGGAATTAAACCGGTCTAACCTTACAACGGACCGATGTGGAGAAACTCTTCTCCCGCGCAAATTCTTCTTCCTGTTCAACAAGACAGAAGGTTCTCTGGTTTTCAGCGGAGAACCTTGCAGAGAAATTTTGAATAAGACAAGTTATTCTTCGCGAACAAGAAAGTTGGGAAGAAAATCTAGGGTTGTGCGATTTTTTAGGTGATTTATAGCTAGGGTTGTGCAATTTTCTGGGCGATTTAGAGCTAGGGTTGTGTGATTTTCTGAGCAATTTAGAGCTACGGTTGTGCGATTTTTTGGGCAATTTAAAGCTAGGGTTGTGCGATTTTCTGGACAATTTAGAGGTAGGGTTGTGTGATTTTCTACGCAATTTAGAGATAGGGTTGTGTGATTTTCTAGGCGACCTCTATTCGTTCGAGCAAGAGAAGAGAAGGTAACATTCTGGGCGACCTCTGTTCGTTCGAACAAGAGAAGAGAAGTAACGTTCTAGCCCTTCTTTTAATAGTTTTCATAATCAGAGGCAATGAACAATGAGAACCAGCCGACCATCTAGTCATTGACTATTATGCTCACTTTGTTTTCCTTGATTGTAATCACAACCACTGGTTGTATATGCTTTCATCTTTGAATGAATGCAATCTTTTTCCCTTGATGATAAAAAAGTCAAATTTTTGGAAATCCTTTTTTTTTCCTACAAGAAGATGATAAAAAAAGCCATTTTTATCAATTTTTTTGTTTTTTTTTTTATTTATTTTTTGTAAAGAGATTGCTATTTTCTTAGTTTCAGGTGTACATCCCAGTTGTACAATGCTTCAGTTTACAAGGTGTATTTCCATTTAGTTTCTCAATCAATTCATTACACTAACCTGAATTTGTACATCTTGGTTAGCAAACAGCTGATTTTGTTATGCAACACATTTRTCCATTGATATTGATTTAGTTGAACCTTTGTCGTGGCCATTGACACAATAATGATAAAAAGAAAAAATATAACATACTTAAGGAATGTTTTTCCAGCTATTGTTCTTTTCTATTTATGCTAAGCAGGCTGGTTGTAGGGTCTTAATCTTGGTATATAGATAAGGATTTCTTTGGTCTTTGGTCTAGAATCAAATTAGGCTCCCTTGGACAACAATTTGGAGGTGCTTTGTGCCTGAGATACTACTGATGTCATTAAGCCCATCCAATCTGCATCAAGGAAGACTTTATCCAAAAATGMAAGTATGAAACTACATTCATCAAAAAGACAAGTGGGAATAGAAATAGTTGAGAATCAATCTGGTACAGAATAGAGTCTCTGCGTCTCACGCTTGGATATGTATTGTTCAAACTTTCTCTTTCTTTTCCCTTTCTGAGGTTCAGCTTGGGTGATGGAAATTTCATCAAAATTTGGACTGATCTTTGGTGGGGTTCTCAGCCTTTTTCCATCTACCCTATCTTGTTCCGTTTACTCTTGAATAGAGGCATCAGAAACTGCTGTTTGCACAGTGTGTATAACAGGCTACGTAATCAATCCTGAGTAAACATGCCAGTGTTCCCTACACATGGGGCCCACAAGGAACACTGACATGTTCACTCATGATTGATTACGCAGCCCTTGATACACAGCCGTGTGAACAGCAGATCTGGAGTCTGAATAGAGATGCCTTGGCCTCCTTATTGATGTCTAGAGGGAATCAGGGATTTTCCTTTTAACTTTAATTTCCAGAAAGTCCTTTCTGACTCTGAAGCCCAAGAGATTTCTTCTCTCTTGATGTCTTTAAATGAAGTTTTCCTTTCTCATTGAAGAATCTAGTCCCCTACTCCCAATTGTACCTTTTCCACCATCTCACAGCTAGCTTCTCTACCTCCTCCCTCCTGACAAGAAGGCTTTGGCTCTCATCTGTCCCTAATAAAGTCTTGTTCTTCATGTGGGAAGTTGTTTGTGCTTGCATCAATATTTGTGACATGATTCAAAGGAAAAGAAGTGATCAATTAGCATGTCACCATATGTTTGTGTGATGTGTATGAAGAATGATGGAGAGTCTGTTGGCTATCTTCTCATTAATCACATGGCAGCTTTTTTATTTTTTTGACATGATCCATGGCTGTGGCTTCCACTGCATTCCTCTAATAATGTAGCTGATTAGCCCTACTGAAGAGCTATTGCTCATGCTGTTATTGGTTCTTATGGGAGGAATGCAACAGAAGGATATTTGACAAAGCTACCTCATGGGAAGGGTTAGGAAAAGAGCACTGAGTCTATTTAATTCTTGGATGCTCACCTGTAAACAGTTTAGAGGGAGATCTGAGCATCTCCGGTGGGGATATGGATAGGAATTTTTTTTAACATCCTTCAATCATTTAGGTTAGACCCTCAGCCCCACCCAAAGCCAATTCCTAGGCCAAATTGCGAGTTTATCATGAAATTTGATAGTAGCTGCAGGAGTATTTCTGATCTCAATGTTTGGCATAGATTGGTGGCCTTATTATTAATTCTGTTGGTATTGTCATGTGGGCTTACAGCAGAGCCATTGGTGCTGTGGATGCTACTGAAACCGAAATCAGAGCTCCTTGTGTGGTTAAGGGTGGCTAAATCCATCCAAATCACCCCCATTCTAGAGTTGCAATTGGTTGGGCCTCAAATCAGGTGGGGCCTTGGAGATTAGCACATTTGCTAAATGAAATCTGAGATCTTTCAGCGTATCTTTCTTGCTCCTTCAGATGGGTCCCAAGGGATTCAAATGTTATGGCTGATTCTTTAGCTAAATCAGGGGTGGATAGGGCTTTTTGTATATGGTGCTAACACTTTGCCATTGCAATTTCTGTTTCCGGCTCTTCTTAGCCGTTTTGTACATCCTCTTATGTACATGCCCTC